TTTTTTTTTTTTTTTAATTTTAAATTTTTAATACTGGAAATTGAACTTGGGACCTTATGTTTGCCTTGAATTTGCCATCTTCCTGTCTCAGCCTCCTAGAGTGCTGGGATCACGGATCTGGACCACCACACTTAGGCTCTAACCATTTCTTTCTTCTGTATTCTTTTCAGGTAGCAACTTAATTCTGTCTTTTTTTATATATATTTGGGACAGGGTCTCACACTACCCAGCTCAGACTTGCACCGATTCTCCTGTTTTCAGCGTCCGCAGTGGTGGGATTGCAGGTGTGCACCACCACACTCAGTCTCCGTGGCTGGCTGAGCTTTAGGACACCCCGGGGTGGGGCTGGCATGGGACGTGGTGCTGGGGACTGAATCCCAGTCCCTGTGCTTGCCTAAGCAGGTGCTCAGTCCACTGAGCTGTCTTGCCAGCCCAGCAACTTAATTCTTTATGCAGCCTGTCATCCATAGTAACAGGTTTCTGGACATGATGATTGTTTCTCTTTTGCTCCTGCTTTTTGTGAAGAGACCTTGCATTTAGGATGTTGGTAGAATTTTTATTGCTTTTTTGTTTGTTTGTTTGTTTGTTTTTAAGACAGGGTCTTGCTCTGCAGCTCAGGCTGGCCTTGAGCTCACTTTGTAACCCAGGCTGGTCTTGAACTCACAGTGATCCTCCTGCCTCAGCCTCTGGAGTGCTGGGATGACAGATGTGCACCACCACACTCAGCAATGCTGGTAGAATTAGATTCTCAGGAGAAATGAGCTGTGGATTCTCTCTAGGGACTCTGGGCAAGGGGACCAGGAACTCCCTGGCACCTTGTGTCTTGTTTGGGTCGTGTGGGTAAACCTGTTGCCCCCCTGATTCATCCTGTGTTGTCTGCTTGTTGTCCTCTCGGTGGCTCCTGGGTGCCTACCACAGGGGGGCTATGCTGGCCACCCAGTGACCCCTGCAAACCTGCAGGGTGGCAGTGTACGTGGGAATGACAAGGCTTCAGGCAGATTGTAAACCACACTGTTAAGTAAGATTTAGCATTTGAGATGACTCACTCTGGGGCCAGGCTGGTCTCAAACTTCTGATATTTGCACCATATTTATGGCTAAATACTGACATTGGACTCAGGAAGCTGAGGCAGGAAGATCACTGTGAGCTCAAGGCCATCCTGGGCTCCATAGTAAGCTCAAGGCCAGGCTGAACTACATAGCAAGACTCAGCCTCAAAAAACAAAACTCAGACAAAGAAAAAACAGCAATATCCTTGTCTATTAAAAAGAAAATCAAAAAGTGAAGTTTCTAGTGTTCTCTCAAGGGTGTTGTTTCCCTCTTTCTTTAATGATTGACTTTTATTTGCACGTTTGCAATACATGATTACATTTAGTGTTGAGAACGGGTCCATGTGTAGAATGTATCTAAGACTGGTCCAAGGGTGGCTCTGTTGTTGCTGCCTTTTTGAGACAGAGTCTTGCTGTGCAGTTCAGGCTGGCCTTGAGCTCATTGTGTAGCCCAGGCTGGTCTTGAACTCTCAAGGATCCTCCTGCCTCAGCCTCCCGAGTGCTGGCATGACAGGCATGCACACCACACCTGGCTCCCAAGGGTGTTTTGGAGAAGGCCGGCCTGTGCCTTCTTTGGCTGTGCCTTCCTGTTATGCTACTTCTCGTCATTACCCTGAAATGGTGTCAGAGCAATCTGCGGGATGCTAGCGCCTGTTCCTTGTGTGTCCAGGTTACCAGCACGGCAGGCCGGTCCGGGCCCTGAATGCCAACGCCACGAGTAATGCTGGGACGCTCCATGTTTGGCAGTCAGGTAATCTGCTTTGGCCGTCTGTCATGATTAGCCCCCTAGTGGAGTGGGTCAGAGTTACAAATATTTTCCTACCCCATTGGTTCATTTAGTGGGGAGGAAGTAGAGGCTGTTTCTCTCTCTCTCTCTCTCTCTCTCTCTCTCTCTCTCTCTCTCTCTCTCTCTCTCTCTCTTTGCTTTTGCTTTTTAATACCAGGGTTTGAACTCAGGACCTTCTGTCTGCCGCGCAGGCGCTTATGCCGCTGAGCTACATCCCAGCTTTTTTTTTTTTTAAAGCAGGGATCTCATGAAGTTCAGACAGGTGTCTTGAACTCACTGTGTAGCCCAGCCTGGCCTGGCACTCATGGCGACCCTCCTGCCTCAGTCTCCCAAGTGCTGCAATGACAGACATCCACCACCATCCCCGGCTAAGCTAACTAACTTTCTTTCTTTCTTCCTTTTTTTTTTTTTTGTCTCTTTGAGACAGGGCCTCCCTATGCAGCTCAGGCTGGCCTTGAGCTCACTCTGTAGCCCAGGCTGGTCTTGAGCCTTCAATGGTCTTCCTGCTTCAGCTTCCTGAGTGCTGGGATGACAGTTGTGCTAAATGCCTGGCTAAACTTTATTTTTATTTTATTTTATTTTGTCAGTGCTGGGATCTAACTCCAGGACCGTGCGCTTGCCAAGTAGGCTCTTGTGTCGCTGAGCCCCCTCCCTGGCCCTGGTACTATTTGCTGTTTGTATCCTGTTTTTGACAACTTTGATGTACATTGCTTTAAATTTTAATTAATTACTTAATTTTTGTGATCCTGGGGATTGGGCCCAGGCTCTCTGCTCTAGGCTACCCTCCCCAGCCCTTTGTTTGATTTTTTTGAGACAGGGTCATGAAGTGGCTGAGTTATCCAGGCTCAGACTGGCGACCTTCCTGCCTCACCCTCGGAGTTGCTGGCATTGCAGGCCTGCGCCACCTCGCCCAGCTGCATCCTTGCTCTTACTAGTAGGAACACTGAAGAGCGAATCTTTTCCTTTTCCAGCTGGAAGGAGTTTGTGTACCTCCGCAACCCTCAGGCCTGTTTTGTTTGGTGAAAACGTGGAGTCTGGCTGCCTTCTAGAGGTTGGGATCCGCGAAAACTGCTCCCGGCTCAGGTGGGGCTGCTGAGGACCTGACTTGCTTTGTGATTGCGTTGCTTAAATCTGGTTTGCTGCTGGGCGTGGTGGCACATGCCTGTCACCCTAGCACTTGGGGAGGCTGAGGCAGGAGGATCGCCATGAGTGCCAGGCCAGCCTGGGCTGGACAGTGAGTTCAAGGCCAGCCTGAATGCCATAGCCACACCTTGTCTCAAAAAAGCAAACAGAGGGCCGGGGAGATGGCTCAGTAGGATAAGTGCTTGACTGGCAAACACAAGGATCTGAGTTCAATCCCTGGTTCCGCCAAAAAAAAAAAAAGCAAACAGAAAGAGAATATGCTGGTTCATTTTTAGGTAGCATTTGGAAGGTATAATTACATATACGCATATACTTTTTTAAAAAATAAAATTAATTATAATTAGTCACTTCAAAGTGAACAATTAGGAGCTGGGGAGATAGCTCAGTAGAATAAGTTCAATCCCGAGTTCAGTCCCCGGTACTGCAAGCAAAACAAAAACAACAATAACAAAAAAAACCCCAAAGTGAACCGTTACCCTAGGGAGGCTGAGACAAGGGAATTATTGTGAGTTCGAGACTAGTCTGGGCTACAATGTGAGCTCAAGGCCAGCCTAAACTATACAGTGAGACCCTGTCTCAAAAAGACAAAAAAACAAAAACGAACAGTTCATTGTCATTTAGTACTTTCATTATACCTTTATCTAGTTCTAGATAGTTTCATTACCAAAAAAGGGAAATTTGTTCTGGTTAAATACTTATTTCCTGGTTTCCCATCCCTGCCCCCTCAGCCTCTGGCAGCAAGTAATTTGTTCTTCTGTTGTTTTATGTGAGACGGGGTCTCACTGCCTGAATTCAGAGTGATCCTCCTGCCTCAGCCTCCTGAGTGCTGGCCTTGCCGGCATGCATCCCCCTCGCCAGGTGTAAGTTAGCGGCATTTTAAACCCCGAGTGAAGAAGGCTGCCGCTGCCTGTCTTTCTCTAGCTGTGGTGTGGGCGCGGCTCCCGTGGGAGGCCACGGGACAGAAGCAGGGTCAGAGCCCAGGGTCAGTGCTGGGGTGGCCGGCATGGGGTGTGCAGCAGGCTGGGGGGGCACGCAGGGACCAGGGCGGCAGGACAGAGCTGCTGAGCAGGGCCGGGCTGCGCTTCGTTCTTCTGCAGGGAGCGTGCGGCCGAAAGACTGGGGTCGTTAGTGCCAGCAACACATGTCGCAGCAAGAGGCAACTCCGATTCCAGCAACCTGGCCGACGGCTGGCTGGAAATCCTGCGTAAGTCACAGCTGCGTCTCGGAAGGCATGTGGGTTGCTGCTGGTGACAGCGGTGGCCCGCACAGCGTGTGCCTGATGCACACAGTCACTTTTCTTTGCTGGCTTAACTGGACATTTACTTATCCGGGGGTCACCTCCCCAGGCAGGAGCCCCTTTGCATCTCTCACCTCTTATTCATGCTATATTTGTTTGTTTATTTATTTAAGACATGGCTTTACTATGTGGTCTGTGCTGGCCTTGAACTGCCAGGCTGGCCTCGGATGTTTGATCTTCTTGCCTCGTCATCCCACATAATGGGGTTACTGGTACGCGCTGCCCCATCTGGCCTCTATTATATCCTTTGCTGTGCTCTCTTTCTTTTGGTGACAGGGTCTCCCTATGTAGTCCAGGTTGGCCTCACACTCACCTAGCTCCTCCTGCCTCAGCATCCCCGGTGCTAGGATTTCAGGCGTGCACCACCACACCCAAATTCTTTTTTATTTTTTCGAGCTAGGGTCTTGCCGGCCTCAGACGTGAGGCCCAGGCTGGCCAGACTCCTGCCAGCCCTCCTTCGTCATCCTCCCAAGTGCGGGGATGCCAAGCGTGTGCTATCACATCTCGTAGTCCTTTGTGACTTTACAGAGGAATCTGCACAGAGACGGCTGAGGGTGCCCGGGGCAAGAGGCTCGCTGAAGCCAGCCTGGGCTACATGGTGAGCCCCTGTGAAAAACGAAGCAAAATAAAATGAAGAACCTGAGAAGTAAACTACGGGAGTTTCCAGAAAGCCCAGCGTGGTGACTGTGAAGCCAGAGAGAGGGCAGCATTTCTGTCCTGGGGAGGAAGGGCCGAGCCCTTTCGCGTTGGAGCCTAAACACGCAGCCCCAGCCCAGGCTAGTAACCAGAAGTGATGGCCGTACACACGGATCTGGCAGGCCATTGGGTGTCCCAGGGGAACAACGTCAGCCACCCCCACAGTCTCTGAAGGGACATAGAAGCCCATGGCAACCCTAGGAGATTGCTTTTTTAGTTTTATTTTTTATTCTTTTCTGTATTTTAGGGAAGGGTCTACAGGGTGTTCAGGGTCTCACTACTAGATCAGACTCATAGTGATCCGCCTGTTTACAGCCTCCTGAGATCTGGGATCACAGGCGCGCCACCACGCCCAGTCTCAATCACTGTCTCAGTGTACCCCAGGGGCGGGGCTGGCACAGCAGGCCGGGGGATCAAACCCCCGGTCCCTGCCCCTGCTTGCAGGCACTTTAATCTGCTGAGCTATTTGGCCGGCCCTAGGAAATCGCTTTTTTTATTTTTTTTTTGCAGAACCGGGGATTGAACTCAGGCCCTTGTGTTTGCCAGTCAAGCGCTTATTCTACTGAGCCATCTCCCCAGCCCTAAAAATCGCTTCTTAAATTTTTTCTTAGTCCATATTTGTGTGCACACCAAGCCCATTCCTCGTGGGGAGCCGGCACGCGAGCACAGCAGGTCTTCATCCTGTTCCTGCCCTCCCGTCGCCCTCTGCCCACCTTTTGGTCCCCTAAGGAAATCACCCTTCATCAGCCCACATGAACTCCTGTCAGTGGATTTTCAGTGCTTTGCACAGCTTTTACTAGTTATTGCCTAAAATAACTTAAAATGCCTCTGCTAAAAGGCTGGCTGGATTTCAATAGGAGGCTTGGAGACAGAATCCTGATTGATGGTTTTATTATGTGGTTCAGGACTCTTAAAATTTCGGCAACTACTTTTCCATACAAGGAAACATTTGAAACACAGTCACAGAGTGACATCAAGAGCCTGCTAGAGATGAAGGCCTCACAGTGTGCTTCCTGTCTATCATTAGTTCCTCCTTTTTTTGTTACTATGACATGATAGGAAAACTTATTATTCCTTTAAAAATGTGTCACTTCTTCTGGGGGTGGTGGTGCATGCCTGTCATCCCAGCCCCTGCAAGGGTGAGGCAGGAGGATTGGCTTCAGTTTGAGGCTAGCCTGGGCTGTGTAGTGAGTTCAAGCCCAGCCTGAACTGCACAGCAGGACCACGGCTCGGAAACAGAAAGCATCCCCTAATGCGCACCTGCTCCCCTAGGTGGAGATCCCCCCAACGCCGATGTGGACCCCGCTGCCAGCGGCGCCCTGGGCGCCTGTCCTGCTGTTCCCGCCCAGCTGCACATCCGCATCCTCTTCGCAGATGCTGGCGCAGTGGAGGGCGTCGTGCAGCAGGAGATACTCGGTGTGGAGGCCAGGTGTGGCCCCTCAAGGTCCCTGCAAAGTGGAGGGCGTCGGGGTGGCCGAGGGTGCTACAGAGGGCGGGAGGGCTGGGCTGGAGTCCAGTCGTTTGTCCCAGTTAGAGTGGCCAGCATGGTGGCGGTGTGCATGTGCAGACGACCCATGTGCCAGGCTGTCTTGTTGGGACGCCCGTTCCCTCTGGGTACCGAGGCAGCTGTGTCCGGCTCTGCAGCTCAGCGAGGCCTCCATAGGAGAAGCAGGGCCTTCGTGGGCTGCAGGGCTGCAGCTGGCGTGCTGACTAGGGGCACCAGCCACCCAGCTGGCCCATTCCTGGTGTGAGGCCTGGGCATCTCGTGAGCTCTGACGTGGTGACAACACCCTTATGTCGAAGGCTTCTCTGTAAGGTGTCACAGTCCTATTAGGCAAAGAGTGGAAAAGTCGCCACAGCTCATTCTGGGGTCCTGGGCAGGAATCTTTCCCCTTCATCTCTCAGTGCCTCTTCCCTGTGGGTTGGCTTTATTCCTAATGTAGGTTTCCCTACATTCTCTTCCAATCCTGTGGAAGAGAAAAGATCTGGGCAGACTTTCATTGGTTCACTTTGGGTCATGGACTCCTTTTGGAACCAATCACAATGACTGAGGCATTGGACAGCTCTGATTGGCTAGAGGCAGGTGACTGAGGTCCATACCTTCTGCTCCGCTGAAGTTTGAGCTGCATGAGAGTGGTAGCTGGGAAAGTTAGGGTGCAGGTAGCTGAAGAAAGCCGATGGGATTCTGGGTAGGGCTGAACCCCTCTTCCCCAGTACTGTTTTGAGGATTCCATGAGACATTCTATACGAAGTACCATAGCCCCGCTCACAGCAAAGAATGCATTCAGTACGTGGCTATCTCTTGTCACTGTTATCTTGACAAGTTAACTTTTTTTTTTTTAATTTATTTTATTTATTGAGTGTGTGTGTGTGTGTGTGTGGCCAGCTCAGCCCACCAGGGGGTGGGGCTGGCTGGCATGTGGTGCTGGGGATTGAACCGCGGTCGCTGTGCTTTTGCTTAGCTTAGCTTGTTCTAAGTCGGTGCTTTAGACCGCAGAGCCATCTCACCAGCCCGACAAGTTAACTTTTAAAACTCCAGTTCCAGGCCTAGTGGTGTACACCTGTGATCCTAGCACTTAGGAGGCTGAGGCAGGAGGATCACTGTGAGTCCCAGGCCAGCCGGGGCCACATAGTGGGACCCTGTCTCATAAATAATAGAAAAACAAAACAAATGCCACCTCTAGAATGAGAAGGCTGGAGCGAAGGAGACTTAGAGGCTGTAGTTAGTGACTGTCATTGGGAGATAGGCCAGGCCAGGCTGGTCATCCCATCCCTTTTCCCTAGTGTCCATATTTGAAGAGTTTTGTGATGTAAGTTTGGTCTGCTGACCTGAGGAGCGGACCTGAGTGGTGGCCTCCCCCTGCATCCTACCCCCTCCCAGGGTCTCCACCGTGGACTGGCAGTACCAGTGTGGGCTGACCTGCGAGGATACGGCTGACCTCTTCCCTGTCGCTGCATCCGTCCGATTTATCAAAATACCTGCGCAGCCACCCCGCCCTCTGACAAGGTAATCCACCTGCTGACCTAGTAGACATTGTGAGGAAGCCGAAAAAAATTCAGACTTAAAATAGGAAGCTTACCCCTTTGGTCAAGCTCATTGGCCTTCACTCTGTGGCTGTCCTAACCTTCTAAAATATTTTGGAGATTCCAGATCAATTTCACAGAGTACGACTGCAACAGAAACGATGTGTGTTGGCCACAACTCCTATATCCATTGACCCGATATTATCAAGGTAGGTGAGGCCAAGTTCTTTTGCATTTTGAGACAGGGGCTCACTGTGTAGCCCAGACTGTGCTGGACCTCCTGACACTTCTGCCTCAGCCTCCTACATACTGGGGTCGCTGGCCTGTGCCACCATGCTCCGCCTGGTAAGCTGATTTCTGTGGCGATCATCAGTTAGGCTGTGCCAGCTAAATCTATTTTATTTTTTCTAAGGCATGGTCTTGCTATGTAGTTCAGACTGGCCTTGAACTCACTCTGTATTATAGTGAGTGACCCTCCTGTCTCTTCCTCCCAAGTGCTCTGGTTACAGCAGTGTGCCACTACCCCAGACATTCTCAGCTAAATTTCTTTTGAAAACATGTAAATATCACAGAAAATTTGAAACTTGTAGAAAGATTTAAAAAGAAAAAAAATATACAAATATACTTGGAAATTTTCACTCTTAATGGTTTGGCTTATTCCTACCTAAATTATTAGAAAAATGCCAGGCATGGCAGCACATACCTGTAATCCCAGCACTTGGGAATGAGGCAGAAAGATCTCTGAGAGTTCCAGGGCAGTCTGAACCACACAGTCTGAGACTGTGTCACCAAAAAAAAAAAAAAAAAGAATAAGTTGAGAAATCCTCCTCCTCGGGTTTCTCATGCTTTCAGGGGAGCCAGACTCACAGTGTGTGGCCAAGGCTTTGCTGCTGACGGCGTTCCTCCTGCTGGCTGCGCTCCTCAGCAATCCCTGGGCGAGGGTGTGCAGAGCCCGGCGGCCAGCTGCTGTCTACCATTAGGCCTTCTTCGAGGCCTTACACATTTCCTCCCGCAGTCTGTTGTCCTGTGTTCCTCTGTCATAGTTTAATAAATGAAATGTGTTATTTTTATAAAAAATTCTTACTAATGTTGTGTGAGTTTAATTCATTCATGTAACAAACAATCTGATGTTCAGAGCCTTTTGCCAAATTCACAAGCACTAGAACCTACCCTCCTTGAGATCAACTATGTAAATGTTAGAAATTTCAATTTATCACAGGTTACCAGTCCTAGGGGCTATTTTTTCATACAGAGTGAGGCTTTAAATGTTACATATTTGTGTTGGTTACATTTCCTGTATTCCAGAGAAAGAATGCGTGAGGCCTTAAAAATGCATGTAATCCTGTAACAGCCTACAGCATAGGCCTAGCGTGCAGGAGGCCTTGGGTTCCTGCCCTAGTATTAGTGGCAGGGGGTAGCTCAGCGGTAAGACCCTATTTGCTGGGTCCTCAGGACTCCACAGTGACATCACGAAGGTGTCCTGTGCCATCCTAGGTCAGTGACTGCTGAGATAAGGTGACTCCCATGGCAGGATGAGGCCAGGTGCGAAGCAGTGTGGTGAGTGGGCTCTCAAACGAGGGAACTCTTGAAATGGAACTTGATGAAGCCCCTGTGACAGGCTGGAGGGCTGAGGGGTCCGGAGCAAGTTTTAATTTTTTTAAAAGTTGGTACAGGGTCTCACTATGCAGCTGGGGCTCATAGTGATCCTCTTGTTTTCAGCCTCCCCAGCGCTGGGATTACACGCTTGCGCCATCATGCCGGATCGCTGGCTCTGCGCGCTCCCGGGGTGGGGCCGGCACGGCATGTGGTACCGGGGATCGATCCCTGCGCTTGCCAAAGCAGGCGCTTAGTCCGCTGAGCTGTCTCGCCCACCCTCAGAGCAAGTTTTCCTGCTCAGTGGCCGCGTGAGCGAGAGCAAGACGGTGGGCGTGGCTTGAGCTGAAGGACGGCGTCCGGGGCGGGGAGGTTGTGAAGGTCGGGGTCCGGGTGTCCCGCGGCGGTTGGTTTCTGTTCGGATTGCTCAGGCTGGGCTTGATCTTCGGGTCTCCCACCTCATCTTCCCCGAATAATGAGATTACAGGTGTGCACCGCCAACGTCCCCGGCTGTAAACCAGAGCGCTTCATCCGGCTCCTTCCAGGTTTTGGCTCGCATGGCTCTGGGATGAGGCGGTTCGCAGGAGGCCAGGCTGGGCCAGCTGGCGGGGGGAGTCCGCTAAGGTAATGGAGACGCCCGCAGAGTAGACAGTGGCGATGTGCGCACTCAGCACCCCACCAAACGCCACTAAATTTTGCCTACCCGCGACGTAGACCTCCTTGCCGGGCGCACTCAGAAACAGTTCAGAACTCCGCCCGGGTCTACGCCTTGGGCTCTGATTGGTCGGCTAGCGGGGGGCGGGGCCTGGCGCGGCAGGGGCGGGACCGGCCGGAACCGGAAGTGTCGGGGCGGGGCCTCGCGGCTGCTGTGGCGGCAGTTGGAGCTAGGCTGCGGTGGCAGGAGCGGCTGCTGCGGCGGCCGCCCGGCGCTCCATGGTGCGGGGCGTTCGCCAGGCCGCAGGAGGAGCTCGAGGCCCGGGCCGGTCCGCGCGCCGCCATGGGGTCTCTGTTCCGGAGCGAGCCCATGTGCCTGGCGCAGCTCTTCCTGCAGGCGGGCACGGCCTACGAGTGCCTCAGCGCGCTGGGCGAGCGCGGCCTGGTCCAGTTTCGAGACGTGAGTGTCGGCGATGCGGCGTACCTGCCACTCCGGCCTCCCTGCCCCCATTGCCCAGGAGAGGAAACTGAGGCCCTGCCGGGGCGCAGCCTGTCTCCGGGGTGTCCCGGCTCTCGGGCGCCTGATCTCCCGGGGCTCTTCCTGGCTCGCCCTGGGTGGCTCCATCCCGGGGGGTGCGGCTCCTCCAGACTCTGGGCCCCGAGCCAGGGGAGGGGACACAACAGGGGAAGGCCTTCTGGGGTCCTGTCGGGACTTCCGGAGGGGCTCAGGCTGTCGGTGCCTGAGCAGGAGGATAAGTTAGCGGGGTTGGAAGGATGATCATGGCAGGCATCTCGGAGGAGGCGGCCATGGCGCTGAGCCCCGAATGGGAACGGGGGCGGGTCCGACCTGGGGACGCGCGGGGAGCTGAGGGTCCACAGGTGCAGGGGACAGGAAGAGGCCGGAGGAGCCAGAGCTGGGCGGAACGGGATGCGCTCCGGGGGGTGCTTGTGTTTATTTCGTTCCCTGGAGTGAGGTGCACAGAGCGAGGAATGCGGGCTGGAAGCCGTCTCCCCAACAAGTCGCCGCAGACACTTGTGTCTGTTCGCTTGTTCATTGTTGCCGGTCTCCGGGGTCAGGGCCAGCAGAACTTGTTCACACCTCCTGAGGTCAGGACCTCTCACAGTCCCCGGCCAGCACTGGCATTAGTAGGCGTTTGTGGAATGAATGTACAAGCTTTTATTGGGTGTCTGCTATGCCCAGGCACTGTTTTAGGTGCTGGGGACTCAGCATGGACAAGGCCACTCTTGGTGCCCTTGGTGCGCAGTCTGGGAGGAGCCAAGTCCACACTGGCTGATTGTGAGCTTGATAAGTGAACCGAGTGTGCAGGGGGTGTGCAGGGGGGCGGGACCTGCAGTCGTGGCTCCAAGTCACTTGACAATCGCTTTATGGCCTTTGACGCTTCTCTCTCCCGACTTTCACTTCATCTTGGGTTGGGGGCCCTTAATTTTAAGAGGAAACACTTGAGATCTGATACTGATAGTGCTTGCGTGGGCCCTGTAGGGCAGCTGCCACGTCATGGAGAAATTCTGGGTGACAGCACCGGCAGCCACAGAGTGGAGAGCTGCCCTGGTGCCTGGGTTTCCGCAGGTGCCTGAATATTGTGTGGGAAAGTGTGCGTGAGTCCTTTATAAGGGAGCATCAGAGGAAGAGAAAGTGGTGCTTTTTTTTTTTTTTTTTTGTCACTTGGGGATGGGCTGTAACACCCTATTCCCTTTCTTGATTTTTTCCTGAAAGCAGAGAAAACTAACATGCTAAGGGCATGCCTGGTGGGGAATTCAGGCATGTGGCCGTCAGGCTAAAGGACTTCTCAGCCGAAGGCGTGGCATCCCTCATTCCTGTCTGGTGTTGCTTAGTGGCTTCACATTTGCAGGGGGGAGTTGCGGATGTCTCCAGTCCTTTCTGGCTCACTGAGGCTTTTCCTTGAGTGAAAGGAAGGGGGCTTGTCAAGGGTTTCTGTAGTGACAACCCATGGGAAGACATGAAAAAAGGTTGTAAAGCTACTGGAGGAACTCGGGAAGGAAACGGTCGCCTCTCTTTTATGACAGTTCTCAGGCCAAGAAGTTTCCTCTTGGGTCCTCTGGCAGCAGGCAGGGGACAATCCATAGTGTCTCACCCGTACCTCTCAGAACAGGTCTTCTCTTCTGGACATAACAGGAAGCTTTGGTAATAGGTGCTTGACTGAATTGGGGGACTCCCACCCTAAAGGGTAAGATTGCTGGGCTCAGTGGCACACGCCTGTAATCCCAGCACCCAGGAGGCTGAGGCAGGATGATCACCATGAGTTGGAGGCTAGCCTGGGCTACATAGTGATTCAAGGCCAGCCTGAACTGCATAGCCAGACCCTGCCTGAAAAAACAGCTTTGTAATAGATAGCACCCACGCAGCAGAAGAACGGATGTGTATAGGTTGGGGTGGATATGTAGCTCAAATCCAACCACTGCCACAGAAATGGAGCTCTTTCCAGAGACCTTGCTGCTTGTAGAACCATGATGCACCGTTGGGCTTACAGAGTGCCTGCCATTGAAGAAAGGAGCCGAACCTGAGCTGTGGTGTCTCGCAGGGATAGCTTCTGATGCGAGCTTGCTCTGCACTTCTTCCTTCTGGGCAAAGCGGTTGTGTGGGGACTTGGAAGTGGTGAGACTGTGTGGCCTCCACAAATGAGTGTGCCAAGGGAAAGTGAAATTGAAATCATCTTTCTTCTAGTTAATTCTTTAAAAAATTCAAAAAACTGAGTAAGACCTGAGACTCTTGAAGTAGACATTTCTCAGGCGGGCTGAGCAGTTTTTTTTTTTTTTTTTGGTGGAACCAGGGATTGAACTCAGGTCCTTGCGCTTGTCAGGCAAGCACTTATTCTACTGAGCTATCTTCCATGGCCTCAAGGGCTGAGCAGTTTTTATCAAGTTGTTTAATTTATTTTTTGAGTGTCTGGTACTAGCAGTAACTCTGGACAGAGTAGATAAAGTGTGTGTCCTAAGTGTCTTTCAATATGAATGACTAATGCTTTTATTATAAGAGTAATATAATAGTTAAATAAATGAAAGTAGTATATATCAATTATGGGACATCTGGCAAGCATGAGAAGAGCACACAATTTTGCATGATCTGAATCTACAGCTTAACTCAGCTTTTTGGCTAGTATTTAACCTGCTTTTCATATATGTCATGACTCATTTCCTAATTTTATTAAACATTCCTTTGCTTTCTTTTTTCTTTGCTGAGGTTTGAACTCGGCCTTTGCACAGAGCTACATCCCCAGTCCTTTATGTTTTACTTTGAGACCAGATCTTGCTGAACACATGAACTGCCTAGGCGGAATTTGAAATTGCAGTCCTCCCGCTTCAGCCTTCCAGAATAGTGGTATTACGGGTGTATATCATAAGCCTAACCTTTTGTTTTATTTTGTGTTTTGTTTTGGTTTTGAGACAAGGTTTCGCTGTTTCGCTTTTAGTCCAGGTTGGCCTTGAACCTCCTGTGTAGGTCAGGCTGGCCTGAGTTTATAATCCTCCTGCCTCAGCCTCCTGAGTCAGGATTACAAGTGTGTGTCCCCACGCTGGCCTGCAGAATCTTTCATGGTTTTAAGCTTTGTAGTATAAGGAATTAAGCAGAGGTGTGAGTATAGCAGATCCCTGTCACCCCTGTCCTAGGAACTCAGGTGAGCTCACAATTGCTTGCTTTAGTCCCCTCCCCAGTCTTGGTCATTTTAAGCAAATCCAAGTTGTATAATTTCCTATTTAATTAAGTATCTCTATCTTGAAAATTCATTGCCATGATACTGTCATCATATTGAACATCTTAATATTAAGTTTCTTAATCTAATCAAATATCTGATCATTTAGAACATCAGTTTTCCTGAGTGAATAGCAGTTGGTTGTGTGGCCGAACCCTGCTGTTTTCCCCTTTATTTGTGGACTGAGGCGGAAACACAGGGCCTCACGTGTGCCTGGCCAGCACTGTACCTCTGAGCTGTCTCCCAGCCCTTTTAGAACATTTCGAAACAGTGTTCTGCTGAATTGGCTAGACCAGGCTCAGGCTTTCCAGCCCCCTGCCT